TAGCTGCATAAAAGAAAAATAAATTTAAGTCATTTGAAGAAGTCTAAAAAAATCATTGAAATATTGTTTTAAAATAGAAAATATTGAGCATTATTCTTCTTCTATATGCAGTGTTTTTTTTTAAATAATTTCCATATTCAACGGTATTTACCTTGTTCTTTTCGAAAATCGACGTTATCCTTACTTTTTCCTTCCACCATGATGCTAAAAACTTAGTTTTTCGCGAAAAGGTCGCACTGTACACAGAAAAAATTGAATATGATGCAATTGTAATTGTTGACGTCGGCCATAGTACTATAGGTAATACCAACAACCCTTATCTCGCTGCAATGTCACTAGTGCCGTTTGATTTCATTGCCAATTTAGATACCTTTGGTTACAGATTAAAAAATATCGTTTTAATTACTATTTAGAAATTCTAATAATAGTTATTACGTACGCATTATTTTTTTGGTCTCCAGGAAACTTACGAGCAAAAGTTCTATCTGATGTCATATTCCAAGAGGTTTCATCATGCAAAATGTTAATTTTGCTCGAGATAAGGCAAAATTATCAGTCAAAATGTTTCTAATTCGGAAAAACAAGCCTATAATTAATAGTAAAAAATCGATCAATAATAGTTATTATAAAACTATTCACTGAATGTTTAATCGGGGATAAGATGGCGGTGTCCTAGGAAATTTTATTGTAAAATGCTTTGACGGCTGACGTTCAAGATGGCTTCCCAGGACAAAGGCTAAAGTCGCTGATATGTTTTTCCTTGAAAATAGAACAGAAGTCAATGAATCCAATGCAAAAAATGACATTTCTTATCAGACACGAAGAGGACACTGAAATTGTTTGTTTGGGGACATGCGAAACGTCGCAAATAATAATGATAGTTCAGAGGTAAAGGCCATCCAATTTATCGATAAATTTTTATTTTGCGTCGTTTTTATCGAAATGCGACTTAAAAAAATCTTCCCCGTGTTAAAAATTGTAATAATGTTTGACCTACGTGCTTTTCCTATGACACTAAAACAGAAACGTAACTCACAATGTCAAAAAATCCAAATTTGTGCATAGTAACAAACATGTTTCTCATATGCTATTTTGTTGAATTTAATAAAAGTGTGTCAAGTTTGACGTTTACTAAATTTGAGTACGGAATTTATAAATATAATATAAATTACTGGTGCAATAATTTTAACCTCATTGAGCAACTCAAATATTTTCTTCTGACGATGTCTTCCGCATGGTAAGAAACGCCTGAAAGCTTAAAATTGGTTAATTTTTCAGTAAAATTGTGTTCATGGTAGGTACCCAACCATCTATTTTTAGATTTAACATTTTGCTTAATAAGCATTTATATGAAAATAGAGTAAAAATGGTGAAATTGTGAATTTTCTACGTAATGGTTTATAGATTAAAGATGGCATACCACTAGTGAAAAAAGTTGATTATATACAGTCAAAATAATATCTATATTTAGCAAAAACTCGATTATGTAATAGACTTTTATATTCTTATCAGTGATTATATTTTAGTAACTATATCTGTTTATTTATTCAAAATATGAGTACAGTTTGGTGTAACATTCTTACAAACATCATTATTCTCGAACTGAATGGACAGATAATCTCAAAGACATAATTTTAACTATGTTATTATTTAAAACTTTAAGATCAGACTATTCGTCTAAAATTTTCAATTCGTTTAGTGTATCCTATATATTTATGCGAAAAAAGTATGTAATAAATTAAATAATTATTTTCATGAAATTACGAATGACGAAAATATTCAAAAGATTGATTTTCAAAACTTTAGTAAATAACAAAATATTGGATTGCATATTTTTATTGCACGATTTCAGTTAAAAGGTCTATCATTAAGAACATCGGCATTTTATTCATGTTTAACAATCCGTACATCTATGCAATTGACACAATTTTCAAGAATTTTACGCAACTCCTTTTCCTGTTTCTGTTTGTACAATTTAGTAGTATTTACCAATATTCCTATGCTTTTCTACCGTTGAGTCGAAAAAAATTTTCTGTTTAGAACTCCGAAAATTAAAAATATTTTAGAGTAAAAATGTAAAAATACATTTTTTTTTTTTCATTGAAAAAAGAACCACATTTTGTAGACTAAAGTTCTATTTCTGTAAATAAATGTAATATGTACTGCACTGGACTATCCTCTGTCCTTAGGGAATTTAGTGTTAATCATTGCTTCCATTGTAAGTTTAGTAGCATGGGACTCGGGCTTTGATGAAGGCACTGTAGAGACAGTAGTAACGGTAGTAACATTGCTTAAGACTGTTTCCTTAGCTCTGATCAAAATTTGATTTAATACAGCAACTTTGTTTTGAATAAATTCTTTTACGAAAGATTCTGCCTCCGATAATGTCCAGCAACCATGCCTTTTCAATTTTAAAACATCTTTCGCTGCATCTGTAATCATGGTTGTCTAAAACAATGGCTCCTGTGAATTAGGCAACTCAAGACATCTAGAAACTTTGCTTGGTATTAATATCTGTCGGCTGTACAGGACACTTTCCATTACATTAGCTAAGAAACAATTGATATCTTCCATATCACCAACCCTCATTTTATTCTACTCTGCATAAACGAGCAATGTCCAGAATTGGTACAATATAAAATGACAAATATCCAAAGGAATCTTTATATCAAAATTATTTTTATATCAAAATTATCTTCAACATTCTAACTTCATAGCCTTGTAACCCCATAACCTTGTAGCTTCATAGCCTTCATAGCTAACGCAGGATGTGCAATAGTGCAGAACCATAAAATTCTATCGAAACAGGGATCTGATAGATCAGGTTTACGAAACTGCATCACTGGATTGGCAGGCTTTCATAACCCCGTAAGCTTATAATCACGTAAGGGGCAATCCATAAATTACGTCACACGAATTTCATGATTTTTGGAGCCCCCCGTCCTTGTCACAGGCGGTCACATTTGTGTGACCCCCCTCCCTAGGGGGGGACTTCGCATATTTTGTAATTTTTAATTTAGAAATTATTAAATTCAAACAGCACAAAATTATTAATTTATTTCTATTAAAAATATTTTTTCATAAAATGAACAATAAATAAATATTTTAGACTTTGAAACCATTCCTTTATATTATTTATGACTTATCTTCTTCATCTAACCAGATGTGACGTCACGAAGCTTATGACTCGTTCCCCCCCTTTGTCACACTATGTCACACATTGTTGACTCCCTCCGTCCCCCTTAATATTTGATGAAATTTATGGATGATCCTTAACTCTGCAATCTCTTAACCTGGAATGTATGAGGATATATGATGATATGTGTATTCTGACTTACCATAAATGTACTATTGTATATCAAATGGTCAAATAAAGCTATCTATCTATCTATTTAAACTCCATGGGAACATAGATCTCATACATAAGGATCCGCAACTTGTGTTCTCCTTAAGACTATGGGGGTTATGTAACAAATGCCGGGACGCGCAGTCATTTATTTATTAGTTCTCGGAAAGTAAGATATTTCAGTCATCATAAATTATCGGAGGGTTAATGGTTTTCAAGTAGTAGATCGCCAAGACAGTCATTCGGAGAAAATTACCAATATTTTAACAAGTTCGCTTAGACTATCGAGGCCATGTGTTAAGCGTCTGGGGGGCGCCGCGTAGAACCCCATCTTCTTAATAACGCGCGAAACCACAAAAAGAGCGTAGAGATTCCACCTTAGAATTAAATTATATTGTAAGATTGATAGTAATTCGAAAAGAGAGTATACCTAAGCAGCTGGGTTTTTTTGACGGATTTTTCCTAGCTATAAGAGTAGATTAAATGAGATCGACTAATCCGTCCCGTAATTGCTACGCGGAGTCATAGGGGAAGGCTAGGGTTACTAGTAAGTCATATAATTATTGTTATAAATGTAAATTCAGTCAATTAGACAAATATACAAGCGTCCCGATATTCAGGTCCCCGCCAATAAGATAAGAACCGAAACTTCTGAACCTAAGAAATGGGCGTGGTCAAAGCGAATTCCAGAGGGATCTGCAAGAAAACGGCAGTTCGTCTTAAGTTTCACATTGAGCAGACCAATTATTAACTTTAAAGTCTCGGGCTAATTAATTAATTTTGATAGTTTTTCAAATTTTGTATAGAGCGCGCATTCCCTGAATCTCGGTACGCTGTCGCGATTGAATCAATTAATTAATAATGTCGTCGAGCCGTTGTGTTTTTATTTTGTTTGTTTGTTTTGTTTATTGTTAATAAAACCCTTCCTGGAAGTTTTGTGTTTCCTTTGTTTCTCCAACTTCAGTGCTACCCTGTATAGCCAGCCACTGGATTACATCCCACGTAAGCAATGAAATGGTAAGTGCTTGGAAGTAATTTTCTGAACATACAACATTTCTAAGTTCCCACGTGTTAATTAAAGTATAACGATAACTAAATAAACTCCCTTTCGAGAATTAAGTAGTCACTCTTTCGAGAATTAAATAGTAACTCTTTCGAGCATTAAATAGATAATTAATTAAAGATAGATAATTAAAGAAATAACCCCTCAGGTTACAGTTACTAGGTTACGGAACTATAGGGTTGTGGGATTATGGTGGAATGAAATAATGAATTCCAATGTATTTTTCATCACTGATTACTCATATCAGTTTGAAATCTCGTAAACCGCTTTCTAGATGTTAGGGTCAAAACATAAACTAATTCGAGAGTTTTGATTTTAGAATCGAATTTAGCGTGTCAAAGAATTATGGGAATGGTATATACTGGTCTGGTCCCTGATCCAACCTACTTTTGCTGTGACGTAATGTTTTTTCACTGTGGATAAAACGAGAAAAAACTCCAGGTGACTTTGTAACACTAATCTGCATGTCCCAGATAATGTGTTACAACAGAACTACAGACTTAGACTTTTGTGTTACATTTCCTCATATATCCAGGATTATGGGTTTGTACTTTGCCCGAGACTACTTCCCATTGGAATGAAACTCTTAAAGTATCTAAAAATTTATTTATAAATAAAAAATAACGACTTACAGTAACATCAAATTACAAAAATCTAATTAACTAGGTACTGTCATAGCTTCTCATTCAATGGCACTTCTTCGCAGTGAGTATTCATTTGGATCTTCTCGCTGATCTTCAGTTTGTCCTTGGATGTGGAGCAGCAGAAGCAGGAACACAGTCCCCATAAGACGCAGATGCTGCCCAGTCCGACTAATATTAGCACTGTGTAATTGAAGTATTCTGGCAGGTTCTGTATCAGCCTCAGATTCGAGGCCAGCTCGTCGGTGAGGTTTACTCGCTGTGTGAAGTAGAACATCGGCACGTAAATCCTCGGCACGTTCTCGTACAAGCTGGAAGAAGAAATCAAAACAGTCGCTACAATTTGGTCGATTGAATAAAGAAAAAATTAATGTCTGTGTTTCATATGAAGGATGGTTCAATAGCGTGGCAAGGTACAACTGCTCTGTTATTATTCAAACACAATTTTTCCGCAAGATGTTGAAGTAAGTTCAAGCGATTCTGATCTGGAGATTTCAAAAATTGTGAAAGAGTCACCAAAAGATTTGCTGCCTGAAAGGTCTAGGTCAGGGTATGAAAAGGAATATAACAGCTTCACGTCATGGTATGAAAATATTTAAATCGCTTATTTCTGACTATTTTAAAACCAAAAGAATCTCAATTTTGGTGCTATTATTTCATGTTGAAAACCACTTTGGCTATGAAAAAGGATATCGAAAAATATCCCAGACTAATGCCATTACTTAAGAAAAAACCAGTTGGATACAGGACTAAAAATAACACAGCCCACAAAAAAAAGTGGGAGGTCCGAAAGACAAGACCATGGTATCCATATAGTTTTGGGGTCGCCGAATCCAAATCCGGTGTCCGTTTGACACGATTGGCTCTAATTTAAGGTCACTTCAAGATCAAATGTAGATAATCAATTGTCAACAAACTAAACCTACATATTTAAAAAAATCTACCCAAAGTAACATCCTAGTTTTTACTCAATATTTATCAAACATTTTGGACTCTCATGGCAGGGTAGATGCAGTCTACACGGACATATATAAGGCTTTTAATCCAATAGATCATCGCATTCTGTTGAAAAACAAGGAATTGGTTTTAGCTCTGCATTGTTGGACCTATTTTCGTCTTATATTAAAGATATAGTCTACCTCGTTGCGTTTAATGGATATAAATCTTAGCGACTTACTGCAGCATCAGGCATCCCCCAAGGATCCAATTTAGGCCCATTGCTCTTCCTAATTTTTATCAATGACATTTGTTCTGTCTTGAAATGTGAAAATCTAATTGTCGCTGATGATTTGGAAATATATAGGAAAATTGATGATACCTCAGATAACCTAATCTTGCAGAATGATCTGGCCAATATTGAACTGTGGTGTAAGAAAATTAGGTTAGAACTTAACGTTGCTAAGTGTAAAGTGGTTACATTTACCAGAAAGATAAATTTTGAGAAATGTATTTATAAAATTAATAAACAGAGTTTGCAATCTGTGGAAACAATTAAAGATTTAGGAGTTTTATTTGATTCCCGTTTGAGTTTTGTTGATCACATTTATCAAACACAATCACATGCCAGGAAAATGAGCGGGTTTATAGATTTATAGTCCGCAATTGTCATTCGTTTACTAATATCAAAGCTTTGGAAATTCTGTATTAGGCGTATGTTAGATCGAAGCTTGAGTATTGCTCATTGATTTGGAATCCCTATTACCAATTACATTCTGATGCCCTTAAAAATGTTCTAAGGCGTTTTTTGAAATTCTTGTCTTTTAAGTCTATTGGTATATGTATATCCGACTCAGGGCTTCAATCACGATACATTATTAAATATGTTTAACTTCCAAACATTAGAAACCCGCAGGCGTTGTCAGTCGGTAAAATTCCTTTATAATCTAATTCACAATAAAATCGATTGCCCAGATTTGCTAGAACAACTAAGTTTTCTAGTACCACGCGCTGAGATGAGGAATCATGCAACTTTTTATTTGCCAAGGGCTTGCACAAACTTATTGTTAAAGTCCCCAGTTTATTTTATGTGCAAGACATTTAATTTTATCTGTAACACTTGCGATATAAACGATTGTTCAGTTAAAATGTTTTGTATGAGTATAGTAAACCATGATCGTAATTGATGCCTCTCTTTGCTTCAAGTTACATGTCTTAGGTTAAGTATATTCAATTAACACTTTACTGAACTTTTGTATCTTTCTTCTTCTCTTTGTTTTTTGTTCTTCTGATGTTATTGAGTTTTTTATATTATGTAGTTATTTCAATGTAATTTAGTTCTATAAATGGAATTACTTCTGTTGGGCTAATAAATTACTATTATTATTATTATTATTATTNGATGTGGAGCAGCAGAAGCAGGAACACAGTCCCCATAAGACGCAGATGCTGCCCAGTCCGACTAATATTAGCACTGTGTAATTGAAGTATTCTGGCAGGTTCTGTATCAGCCTCAGATTCGAGGCCAGCTCGTCGGTGAGGTTTACTCGCTGTGTGAAGTAGAACATCGGCACGTAAATCCTCGGCACGTTCTCGTACAAGCTGGAAGAAGAAATCAAAACAGTCGCTACAATTTGGTCGATTGAATAAAGAAAAAATTAATGTCTGTGTTTCATATGAAGGATGGTTCAATAGCGTGGCAAGGTACAACTGCTCTGTTATTATTCAAACACAATTTTTCCACAAGATGTTGAAGTAAGTTCAAGCGATTCTGATCTGGAGATTTCAAAAATTGTGAAAGAGTCACCAAAAGATTTGCTGCCTGAAAGGTCTAGGTCAGGGTATGAAAAGGAATATAACAGCTTCACGTCATGGTATGAAAATATTTAAATCGCTTATTTCTGACTATTTTAAAACCAAAAGAATCTCAATTTTGGTGCTATTATTTCATGTTGAAAACCACTTTGGCTATGAAAAAGGATATCGAAAAATATCCCAGACTAATGCCATTACTTAAGAAAAAACCAGTTGGATACAGGACTAAAAATAACACAGCCCCACAAAAAAAAGTGGGAGGTCCGAAAGACAAGACCATGGTATCTATATAGTTTTGGGGTCGCCGAATCCAAATCCGGTGTCCGTTTGACACGATTAGCTCTGATTTAAGGTCACTTCAAGATCAAATGTAGATAATCAATTGTCAACAAACTAAACCTACGTATTTACGCTTTTGGGGTCGCTGAATCGGAATCCATCGATTAGCTCTGTGTTAAGGTCAGTTCAATGTCAAATATAGAGAATCAATTGCCAACAAAGTAAATCTACTTATCGATAAGTTTTTGGGGTCTCTGAATCCGAATTCGGTGTCCGTTTAACTCAAAGATCTAGGTTGAGGTCAGTTCAAGATCAAATGTAGCGAATCAATTGAAAACAAAGTAAACCTACGTTTTTGGGGTCGTTGAATCCGAATCTGATGTCCGTTAGAATCGATCAGGTCTACTAAATACTTTCTAATAGAAAAAGATCATTAACATTCAAAAGATGCTTATAGAAATTTTTTGGTTTTGAAGCTCAAAGTGAAAAATTTGATTGGGTTTGAGGCGAGAGAGAGGTTTCACCAAGATATTAAGAAAGGAAGAAATTTGGGTGGCGATGCAACTATCACTGATAGTACTAGTGATGACGAATATATTCCATATCACGTTGTGAAAAAACAGGAACAATATTCCAAGAAAAAGTAAATGATATTCGAGATTTGGGCCTGACAGAGGATAGAGCAGAGTTCCTAGTATCATGGCTAAAAAAATACTAAGCAAGCGGGAAAAGTAAAAGCTTCTTACTATCGCTACAGAAATAAGGAATATTCGTAAATATTTTTCTAACGATGAAGAATTTTCCTTAGGTTACTGTAATGATATCGTTGGATATATGAATCGGTTCAAACATGGATGTTATAAACCTAACGAGTGGAGTGGACTGTTTATTGATTCGTCAATGAGAAGCATGAATCAATACAAAAGTGTATCCGGCCATCATTGAAAGCACATTGAAAGAAGAGTGCCGTAATCTGAGGATACTCTTACATAGGATCAAATAAAAACAATATAAAAGGCAAATTTGTGAGAATCATCACAATAATACTGGGCCAACAATCAGTATTCACAAAAACTCCTTGGTTTTTATGTGAATGGGGTAGTCAGGATCGAAAAAAACATTACGTGAAGCCTTCGATGATGGGTTTTAGAATATGAAACATGAGCCACGTATTGATTCATTAAAAAGCCTTATTTCACATCTGTAGATTAAATTGAAACTCACGAAACAATGGAAAATAGCTCTAACCAAAGCTTAGAGCATATACTACTGGAGGCCGAAAATGTAGCGGAGGTTTAGAGAGAGAGAGAGAGAGTCACAGAGAGAGAGAGAGGTATATGAAGGTATATGCTATCTCTCTTTAGGAGCACGCGACTGCATGTTGCTAGAGAGAGATAGCATATTCACTCCTATACCCCTCTCTCTAAACCTCTGCTACACTCTCGACCACTGGGACGCTGCCTCCAGTAGTATATACTCTAAGAACCAAAGATGCTCAATGCTTTAAGTATATCATAGATCAGTTCCCCAATTTAAGTGATGCGATATTGCGGGAAGGGATTTCTGATGGACCTCAGATCACATCTTTGATAGTATTATACTTCTACTTTTAAAATCCGGCTGAAAAATTAAAATCGAACTACCTCCAACGAATACAGATACTTAGCAAAATAGTGCCCCAAAAAAATCAAATTGCAATTGTGCCTAAAACTAATGGTCCGATAGCGGCTGCTTTGTGCACAGTACATATAATTTATTACTTTTGTGCATAGGCCCTACAACTGAAAAAATGGCGGTGTAATGAATTTTTCAAAGAACGCTAAATTTTCCGATTTTTCGAGGTTTTCTCCGTTTCTAATTATCCGATCGAATCGATTGACCTCTCGTTTTATTCGTATTCCCTACAAATGTTCTTTTTATAGCATTCAGATTGCTTCGTTAGTTTAGGTTTTATAAGCAAAAAACTAAATGCGTTTTTTGCATAAAAATGTTTATAAAAAATTAAATAATGGTAAATTGGAGTAGGAAACACATATGCATATACTCGTATCTACAGACTGTCTTTTATATGGTGGCACAGTCCGTTTGCTACTAGTATTTTTGTCACAAAATGACTGATTTAACGCTCTACTGACTGGCCTACTAGCGATAAATCAACTTTGCCACAGCGTTGACTCACCCTGTACATATGTTTAGTTCTCATCAAAACCAGTTAATGTAAAATACTTACTTGATATATTTTACTGGCTGCAACAACATATTAACTTGCATTCCAGCCTCGATATCCATTACTATTCCCGATTTCTGAAAAATTAGAAAATAATTGTTAATATTAAAATATTACTAATACCTATTAGATCTTTAATAAATCGTCCTATAATGGAGAGTTAGAGAGATTTTCTCTCATTTAAATTTATCATTACAAGCCCATAAAATTTTGTTTCAAGATAGCTTACATCCTGAAGGATAATCCCAGCAAAGGAAAATCATTTCCTGAAACTCGTCTCGAGTTATAGTCCAGTCGGCACAGGCCGAAAAGTTTACTGTTGGTGACATTTCCTTGATAACTCAGAAATAACTACACAGGAATACTTGAAATGATGAGTACAATAACAGGCTAATTTGCTGACAAAATATTTTATCAGGAAAAAAGTTATTAAAAATTTAATCTTGAAAAAACTAATTTTTTACTAGTTTTCTTTTAATAACTCAGCGGGATGACTTTGTACGAAAAAATGCTTAGGACATGATTTTGTTCGTAATAAAAATAGCT